TTGCTACGTCCATCTTTTATACAGTCTATGAATTTTGGACACAAACGTTGCTCACATTTGACTTTACCGGCGCTCATGTTTTACCAGGATGCAGCTGTCTTGTTTGAAATTCAAATTTGTTATCATGCAGGCGCTTTCCAACCTTAAAAAAAATGAGCAATGTGTCGGTTTAATCGTCAGCATACTTGGTGCCATGTCTCGCTTAAGTGTCTTTGTGCAAAATTAAATTTAAACCAACTGCACAATCAAGGAGAACTGTTTCTCTTAGGTCTCCTGTATGAAAGATAATTATTTTTGTGAATGTTTATAGAATCTATTAATCAATTTTCTCACTTTTTTGTGATTATAAATGACAGAAACACTTCAAAGTAGCTTTAATTTGTCATTGTTCCCATCAATACCAATGTTAATAATAAAAACTAGGAGCAGCACACCACCACAGAGGGTTATTCTTCTGTTTTGTTTCACAGTGGTTGGCATCGAGGAAGTTTGCTTTTTTATTTTCCTGATTTTTGAGTTAAAGTGAAGGAAGTTTAAGACGTTGTGCCACCACGCTTTGATGGTGATGACAAGAGCAGCATGTGGGATTAATCAACCTCATCCATCAATAAAAGCCTAATTGATCCATGAAGATAGAAATACTGAAATAGAGAAATGCATGACAAAAAAAAGAGCAAAATGTCAATATCTTAGACACCTCAAAACTTTACAAATCATGTTTTCAAGGGAGCTCATGTCATATTAAGTCCCTTTAGTGTGATTGTGTGCTTTCCATTAGTTTAGCATTATTTTTGTGCAAAAGTTAAAACTTGTAGTAACAACTGCAGTGTTGGGAAGAAGTAGGTGAGTGAAATAAAACATGAGAACCCAGTAGCAGGGTTCCTACACATTGTAAATTTCAAAATTCCAGACTTTTTTTTAGTTCATTTGATGTTGTCGGACTTGGTTTCATGCTGGGTTTAGCCAAAAACGCTGTGACTGTCAGTGCAGAGGATGCGGAAAGTGTTTTTTCCCTGCATATGACTCACAACCGCCGCCTCCCCCATGTTGGAGATGTCAAACGATTTCACACAAAGTCTGCATTTAGCTGTCTTTATCCATTCGGGATTCTTATCCAGCCAGTCTTTATATTTGGGATTTATGAGCCAGTCGTCAGAGAATTTACCCATTATGAGTTCTGTTAACGACCATACAAGACATTTTGAATCGCTCACTCACAAACGTTGCGGACATCACCTGTCTGTCGAAGCAGCAGTGAAATTTGACGACGCCTGGGCGGGCCAATGGGTTGGAAGAGGATAAGAGCAGAGGGCGGGCATTCAACTTGTCAATCCGGCCAAAGATTTTCTGGGACGCGTAGCCATGGATCTATTATATCAGGGGTGTCAAACTCTGGCCCGCGGGCCAAATTTGGCCCTCTTTGTAATTATATTTGGCCCACGAGAAAATACCAAATGACTACTAGAGCTGCCCCCGGTATTATACTGTACAGCGCATTCACCGCTAATACTACAAATCCCATAATGCCCTGTTGTTGTTTTGGCACGTCAATCAGGACAGGACCCAGAAACTCCCTCTCCTCTGTGACAGTAGGCATAGCGACTTCACACTACAACTGTCACTGTGCCATTGATGTGTTTTTTTATTTATAATTTGATTTTGCATGTCTCCACTATTAAGTTATATGTAATGTATGGTAATAAGCGTTGCTTGTTCCATATTCAATGTTAAAGCAAAATTTGTTTCGGTCCATATTAAAAGGTTCATTTGTTCAATGTTGGCCCGCGACTTTGTTCAGGTTTTAAATTTTGGCCCACTGTGTTTTTGAGATTGACACCCCTGTATTATATGAACGCGTAGCCTACTGTGTGCTCTCACACAAACGTTTTAGCTGCGCTGCTGAGGGCCTTAAAAACAGATTGATCCATTTCTTTTTTTAGATATTCATAATTTTTTGTTTTAGATAATAGAACAGTGGTAATAGTCTTGAAAACATGAATATTTTTCCATACAATAGTTTCTATTTTCCAAACTTTTCCAGATCTGGAAATGTATAAAATCAAATTCCATCCTTTTCCATGCTTTCCATACCTGCAATAGTTTGTCTTAACCTTTTTCTTGTCCTTTCTTTTCGCCCCCCTTTCAGAGCGCAACATTTACTCCAACTCGCTGGGCTTCTTGGGCGGTGTGTCGTGGGCTATTTTGATGGCCAGAATTTGCCAGTCGTACCCAAATGCCACATCAGCCACTCTGGTGATCAAGTTCTTCAAGGTCTACTCCATGTGGTGAGTTGTCGAAGCATTCCTGGTTCAATGAAAATTTAAAGAAACACATGTCAGGGGAAACACAAAATGCACGTATATATGAGGAGGTTGCTTCCACTGTGACAGCTACAGCCTTGTGTTCCGTTGCAGGATTTGGCCCATCCCGATTCATCTGCATCGAGTCAAGAACCTCCTCGACCCCAATATTTGGAATCCCAACGTAAGGCCTCAGCAAGTTCCGACATTTTTAGCAGAATCAAGTCAAGTTTGTCCGTAAGCACGAGTGAGCTAAAAATGCTGTGTTCTCTTCTGCATTTCCAGTTGAATCCAAGCGACCGCGGCCACCAGATGCCCATCATCACCCCCGCGTACCCTCAGCAGAACACATCGGTCAACACGTCTCGCTTCACCGTCGCTGTTATGATGGAGGAGATCAATAGAGGTGCGTTTGTTTCTCACCACAAAATGTTCCCATTTCACTATCTGCACTATTTAACTGTTCCCGTACCGACGTGGATTCCGTTTGTTCTGATGCTAACTCAGCCGGTCGGTCAAAGGTGTTCAAACGTCGCTTAACCCGGCATTAAATTTGTACAGTTTTGTGTAATTTGACTCTGTGAACAAAGTGCAGGAATGTTGTTTGAGTTTAACAAGCTTTTCTTTCTCTGTTTTCAGGCCACGCTATCGCTCAAGAAATAGAGCAGAATAAAGCCAACTGGTCCAAACTCTTTCAAACACAGGACTTTTTTGAGAAATACCAGTATGTATGAGCTACCTATAAACATGATAATCAAGATGAACAGAATTCACTGGAATATTTTCTAAGCTTTTAACCACATACATCTGTTGCATTGATACAACTGTACGATTTTCAGCTTCTGCCTCGTTATCAGTGCCTCAGGCTTAAACAGTGGCTCCAAATAAGAATGAGAATTATGTTTGATGTTGTTTTGTTACTGTTTTAATGAAAATACATGCACTTGGTTTGAAAAAAAAAGCTTTTATTCTGTATTCCGTTCAAAATCAGTTTATTTAGTTTTACACTTTTTACAGCACATGCTTGTTTGGATGTTCGTTTTATTCTGACTGTTTTCTCTAACTGTATTCATTGAGGTTGTGACAATTTCTTGAACGGCACTCGTGTAACCAACGTGGAAAACTGTGATTAATTTCATGTACACCAAGTGTGATGGAGTCATTTAAAAAGTGGATCATCTGTCGTTACGGTCTCACCTAACTTTGCTGAACTGAAATTGCGTAATGAGCGCGCAGACGAGTTTTGCTGTTTGCTGTCATTAATTGAAAAATGTTCAGCAAAGTCTGAGGAGAAGCGAATCGTCTGCTGGTTTCTGTGTGGATTTATGATTTATTTCATGTAATTTCTGAACTCTTAATAGACTTAAATTTGCATCTGATTTTACTCTTTTGAACTGGTTTTTTTCACGGATTTGCGCACCAGGTTTTCTGTTCTTATATTTGAAGAAGTCTCTGTTGCTATGTGACCTGTGTGTTGATGGTTTTAATTATTTTTGAGCCACTAATATTGTCTTCCTGACTTATTTATTTACTGCTTTCTCTGAATTCTTGGGACGTTTTCTCTCATTTCTGCTGCACTTACTGCTGTATTGTGTCGTGTTTGAAAAAATCTGTTCTGATCTCACTGTTGCTGGATTTGAAATGCAAGACACAAATGTTTGTTTGTTTGTTTGTTTTTGTGTGGTTTACACAGTTAAGTAATCAGTCAGAGGTCAGAACAGGCAGCATATTTGAATGATGTAGCTTTTGGGTCACACTGTGTTGGGTGAAAACTGAACCTATAAGTCGTTTAATTTTATTATTTATAAGGTTACAGCCAATTTAATGTAGAAATAATATCCATAATATGTTTATATTGTATGTCTAAGGCTTAAACTAGCTGTGTGTAGCGTCGGTTTAGCTGCTTTAAATATTCATCAGAGCTACAACTAACGAAATGTCGACTGTGTAAGATTCCAGCATGCGTTCAAAGTCGCAACGCTGCGACACAAACTACCATTATTCTGTGTTTTAAGGCACTACATTGTCCTGGAAGCATCGTATAAGACAGAGAGGCAGCGTCTTGAGTGGTGAGTACGAAGCAAAACTTAATATCTATCCGAAGTGCTTCTTTTGTATTTGCTTTGAGGAAGAAACCCGTAGTGCTTTTTCCTTTTTACCGAAAACCCCGTTGGCTTCTCTCCGGCAGGGTCGGCCTGGTGGAGTCAAAAGTGCGAGTGCTGGTGCGACTGTTGGAGAGAAACAAGCAGATCTCCATGGCACACGTTTACACAAAGTGCTCGGATGAACGCAGGAAGCTCAACACAAAGTAAGGAGGAGTGATTGCTTTTGTCACATTTGAACTTCACGTGTTTGTGTAGCTGTATGTGTTGGTGCTGTGTCACCTCACTGGCATGTTTCTGATCCAGAGACGAAAAGAGCAGAACGTGGCTTGTCGGACTTGAACTGAAAGAGGAGATGTCTATGTACCTCAAAGACCAGCTCTCCTGCATCTTCCACAACTTCACTAATATTGGTAAGTTGTTTGTTTTATTTCATTTAATATTCAGTCAAATCAGAGCAACATAATCTGATTATCTGTAATTATATATTGTGTTTTTTTTATTTGGTGCTGCTACAGTCCACAACCTGGCAGAGAATTCTAAGATACATCAGGACGGTGCGTCCGTATCGGCCGGGTACGTCTCGGGTGACGACCTTTTGTACACTCCAAAACCGAAGTCCACATCGGAGAGTGTAACAGTGCCGCTGAGTTACACGCCGACTGTCATCGCGGACAAACAAGGCAAGAAGAGAAGAGTCGAGTCTTGGTCTCAGACGCCTACCAAGAAACCCAAAGCTGACAAGGTTTGCAAAGCGTTGCGTGCTTTGGTGACGACGGCGTGCGAACGTGTCTTAACTGTTGGTGCTGTCGTTTTAAAGGAGTAGTTTGTGTTTATATTCTTATTGTGTCCAGATTTAGGATACAATTCTCATATCAGTATGGGAAACCTGATAGTTTATTTTAGTCTAAATCCTGGTCCTCGAGGGCCACAGTCCAGCATGTTTTAGATGTTTCTCTCTTCCAACACACCTGATTCAACCTGATAACGCCTGATAACGATCCTGATCATGTGAATCAGGTGTGTTGGAAGAGGGGAAGCATCTAAAACATGCTGGATAGGGGCTCTCGAGGACCAGGATTGGGCACCCCTGGTCTAAATTATCAACAATCATTTATGTGATTGGTACAAAAACTAAGTGTGGTTTAATGTCAGACTCCAGAACTGTGCTGGTGTTTGGCACATCACGTCTGCAAAACCCAGAAAAAACACTTTCCACATGTGAAACCTTCCTCCTGTTTTGTGTTTTTATGCTAAACCAAGCCTCGTGCTTAACATACGGGCGTGAGAGTGGTATCAGCTTTCTAACTCTCACCGTGGAAAACAGTGATTATTCCCCAGATTTTTCAGACTATTCTTCCCTCTTTCCTCCAGCCACCGGTGTCGAGGAACTTGCTTTTCCAATCGCCCACTCCCAGCACTTCTGCTTCACCCTTCCTGACTCCAAAGGCCACAAAGAGAGCTGCTTCTCCCCAACCGGAAATGTCAACCAAGAAGCACAAAGCTGCTGAAAAACCGACTCACGACAAAAAACTTACCTGCTCTGACAAACCCACCGCAAGTGTCTCGCCCAGTCCGAGCCCGTCTCCCGGCGTCACCCCACAAGACACGAGGAAACCCGGCGCTCCTGCGCTTGAGACACAGACGAGGAAACCCACATATGACTCGGTACGCTCAGCTATCCTCACATACCTCCTCAGCTTATAGGCTATAGATACATTTGAATATTTCTTGACTTACTTCACTGTCTGTTCTTTGCTTATCAGACTCGCCCTGCCGCCGAGTTGCCTAACGTGCCTTCCCACAGCAACGCGTTAGTTCCAGATGTGAAACGTGCCATCAAACTGCACCTCATCAGGTAAGAAAATTGACTCGTGTAGCTCCACAAACTTCTTCTCCCGCCTTCCTCGCACACAGCTGCATGTGAGGCCTGCTGCAAGGAGCCTCCAGAGCGTTTTGGTCATGACACATGTTCACCACAAGAGGGCAATGAAGCCTTTCTGCTCAACCGCGGTGAAGCGGCGGCTGCTCAGACGCACAGTTCAAAGACTAGTCACTTGGTGACAGCAAAAAACTGGCGCAGATTAGAGTTATGGGAGCATCTTTACCCTCAGTGATCTCTTTATGAATATTCTGGACTCTTCCAGGAAGGAAAATAAGGATTTTGACTGCTTTGTTAATTTGCAGATAATAGCAGTGAGGTGCTGATTAATAATTTCCTATTTGTGAAGATGATCTGTCATGTTGTGCTCTTAAAAAGAATATATATTATTATTTCTTTTTTTTTTTTTTTTGGTGGCGTTGTTTGATGATTTTCCTGGAAGCGCTGCACCCAGAAGATAATGTTTTGTCAGTTGACCTCTGTGAGCTCTTTGCTGAGTGATGCTTTTAAGTCATCTGTTGTCTTTGATTAACTGTAATTAATGACAGGGAGAAACAAACATCACTCATTATGGGATGGTAATTGTTTTTAAGGCCTTTTTGGATGAAGAGGATAAAAGCAAGTGTGCTTAAGATTTACTGCAAAAACAAAAAAAAAAAGAAGCTGCACCCAATTCAACACCATTAACTATGAACTTTGTGTAATAATGTGACTATTTTCACCACACACACACTCCTCCATAGCGAGTATAAATAACATCTTTAGAGAAAAGTCGAACAGAACGCGCGGCTTCCTTTCAGGTTAGCTTCGTATTTTCACTTGAACATTTCTTCACTAAATGTTACATTTCTGACATTAACGCGGCGACGCACAGTCATGAGCAGGACTCAATAATTAATTACGTTAAATAGGCGTAAGACTTCTTTAATGCACCTGAGCCATCAGAATTTTCTCATCAACTGATAATGTGAAGTGCAGTCTGAGTGCTTGAGGGAGAACAGGAATTAGATAGCAAGGTTGACCACTTTATGACCTTTTAAATGTACAAAGCATCCATTGTACGACGACTTGTAAAAGTGTCATGTACGATTTCTTTTTAAAAAAAAGAGCTTAAACGGTGTAAAAAGTACCAGCTGACATTTCGTGGTGATGGATATCGGAACATTAATTACACGATTCCTAACTGAACTCAAAGGGCTGAGGTTTTGGTTGTGCAGAATACCAGGAGCCGGCTTTCTGTTCTCCTCCTCGTTGTGTTTTGTTGATATGCAGTGTGTATCATTAAGGGGTAGATTTGTGCCAGACGAGACACCTACTGTAGATAATCAGCCATAGGGAGCAGCCTCATAACATGGCCTAGTTAAAGGTTTTCTGTTGTTTGCATCCCAATCCGGTCAAAATTCCCCAAGATATGGCTTGTAAGAGTGTGTATGTTGTTGCTAAGGAACAGTATTTCCTGTGCCCCCAGTAGGAGGTCTTTTTATGAATATCATTATATATCCCCATTCAGGGGAGGCAAGACATCTTTATCCTTTTGCAGACTATGTTTATCACTATTTTCACTCTTAAATTCGGGGCAGGTGTTTATGCTCGCTGGTTAGACACAGCAGATGCAGCCGTGATTGAAAGTAACCGCTAACGTGGAGAAGATTTACCTGCAGGGAGATGTTTTTAAACTTTGAAATAGTTATCTAATAGGTTGAATGTCCCATCCAAAGCGAAGCCTGCTTCCTCCCGCTAATGGCTTACTTACATTTGTGTCTAATTAATCACGGACAGCATTAGGACTTCATCCAGAGGTGTATCCACAGGAGGTCCAGTCTGGGGTCTGGGGCTCCCCGATAGTTGTGGCCCCTCTTACTCCTGCCGCGTGCACTCTGTGTGGGGCGGAGGCTCAGGGCACGGCCCCCTGTCTTCCTGCTGGGCCTCCATCTGCTGTGGAGGTGGTTAGGTCCCCGGATTGATGGCGGTACAATGAGTTTATGACATGTGTCGCGGTGAGTGACAGAGGGTCTCGTCCCAACCGGGCCTCCCGACGACCACGCATCTCGCATTTGTAGTCGGCACTATGCCAAGGCTAATGGGAGGAGTGATCCTCCCGCTGTGGGATGGGACTTGTAGTTTACAGCTGGCTGGTAATTCAGGACAAGGAGCAAATCTCTCTGGCTTCTGTCTTAAGCCTCTTTGTTGGAGGACTGGCACCAGCGCGTGGATCCGAAAAACAATAATCTGTGGTGGCAGAAGCAGGCGTCCTTAGAAACCGGCCTTCAGTGCTAACTCCTGAGTAGTCGCCGCGCTGCCGGTGAGCCGTGCTGCTCCCCATCTTCTGAGAGGCTTTAAGAAGCCTTCTAAACTGGTCTCTGAAGCTCCCCGGTTGACCCAGCAGTACTCCTTTCACACACCTGTCAACGCTTCTGTTTCTTTCCACTTTGGTGGGTCCAAGTTAAAAAGAAATCGCTTCCTTCATCTCCCAATCCGCTCCTCCTTGCCCAAAACAGGATGATAAAAGCTCGAGTTTCACATCTGAGCAACTGCAACAATGCTACTGTACCTTCAAAGGGGAAGATGCCACATTGTGAGATGACAGGGTATTGATATGAAAGTGTTGTCTCCTTCCTGGGTGAGATCAGAGGAGGCCTGGTAGATGCGTATCTGTTGTGTAGCTCTGAGTGATCTGACCAGTGTGGTGGAAGAAAGGTGCCATTCACCGGGATGTGTCGGCTCTTCCTCGCGGAAACTCAGCGTGATGCGTTTGGCAACAGATTGTTTTTACATCGGACTTAGTTTAAAAAAAAAAAAACAGCTTTTGGTCTTATAAGTTTATTTTAATTTGGGGTATTTCTGGATAAAATCAGACAGTTACCACCAGTAGAGCATGTTTGGCAGTTCAGATGAATTATTCGTTTGTTTATCCACAACAATGTGTTTTTTTTTTAGCACCCATGGGTGATTTTTGAAAGGCGAATGCTTTAACATTTGACTGAACCGTCTTTCTCTTTCCGCAGGCGCAGCTGACTGACTGACGCTGATTGGCTGAAGTGCAAAAACTTCAATTTCCATCACCGGCCATCTTCTTTTTCTTTATTATTATTATTATTTTCTATTGTTATTTGCTTGCTTATTTTTCTTATTGCGTTTTGCTTATTGCGGCTTCATTTTAAAGCCGTTATTATTACCATTAGTGTTATTAAAATTTTAGCATTGTTGATTTTCTGTTTTCTGTGTCGCCATATTTGGGTTGATTTCAGGAGACGTTCTGAGAGCAAAGAAGAAGAAAAAGTGATAAAAATACAAAAACCAATGAGTTACAGGTGTTTTTAAAGCATTGAACTAAGCCTGATAAAGTCAGTAAATTAATCTGTTCAGAGAGTAAACTCACAGAAATCTCAAGAAGATATTAAACCCAGTGCTATACAGATATGTCTAGATTTAAAAAAATAAGTACAGAGAAGTAAAGAAATGCTTTTCCGTGTGCTAATCTTGTTTTATGGAAACATGATTGGTACTTTGCCTACAGTACAGGCTCTGATCACAGCGTCTCCCTGGACTTGCATGAGTCTGAGTCTTTCAAACAAGAAGTACCTCTTGCACATGTGGCTCCCAGGTAAACGTCCCTGAACACCGGCTCTGCAAAGCGTTCAGAAACCTGGAATGGGTGAATCATGAAGAAAGAGTGAAAGAGCACAAATGAAAAACATCAGATTGTTTGTGAGAATATAAAAAAAAGAATAAAAAATTAGCTTCTGACTGGCTGTTTGTAAAATGTAACCTGATTCAATAAGATGTTGTTCCAGTAAAGACGCTACTCGAAGGGCTTTTTAAAGACATGAAAGATAAAATAGGTTAATTTTTGAGACAACTGTCTGCGAGATTATGGTCAGAAACAAAGATCTTCATGAAATATCTAAAAATCTATTCTCTGAAAATTCTCTGAAAATCTCTGGTTTCGAGTTGACGTGTGTGCCGCAGGTGTCTGGACCTCCTCTGAATTAGTCAGCTTAGCAAACACAAAATAGCCTTCAGCCAGAATGCAAAATCAGCAAAAGGCAGAAAATGACATTCAAAATGCTAATGCTAATTAACTACAGGTGTGGTCTGCTACAAATCTCCATTCAGAGATATTAAAGACTAATTATCATTTTTGTTTTTTTACAGTAAATTCTGTTCATATTCTCCTCCAAACACATGATGTTTACCTGCGGTACTTAAGCACTTGATAAAACTAAATGGAGTTCACTGACAGGTGACAACCACTGTCTGTCATGATGTGTTGTTTTCTCTCTCTGGTAGAAATGATCTCAATCAGTTGTTGTTAATGTACAACATCAACTCACAGCAATGTGGTGAGGAAACCCGACACACAACACACACAGACTATGGCGTCATCACACGATAAAGCACACAGAAACGTGGGGTGATGTATTTTTTTTTACCTGTAACTGGTTCAGATAACATCTTTAAACCACCGTACTAATACCTGTAAACTGCGAAGGCACCAAAAGCCATAAAGACTTCAAGTAGACAGAAACTCAAATCTGATGCTCGGTAAAGGTCAAAAGCCAAAATACGACACCTCCACTGGGGCCCGGTTTCAGAACAAAATGACTCGTGGGTACATCACACCATGAAGCGACTGCGGCCCGGCTGCTGCTTAATCAGGAGGAAACAGTCATAACTCGCAAATACAAATAAGATTCCGTGCATCTGTAGTGATAGCAAGAGCATGTGTTCGGAAAGCAGCGACGTTTCTCAGAACTGAACAATCAAAGCCCAAGTTTGCAGTTTAATCAGATATAACATTTACTGATAATATACTGTAAAAATAAATTAATTAATTAATAAAAATTAAAATCTGGCTGCAGCATTACTTGAAAAAAAAGATGGAATAATGATAAAGTAAAAAAAAAAAATAGTGGAAAAAAAGGCAAACATCTGTAAAATAAATATCTATTTTTAAATATATCAATAAATAAGATGGATAATCATAAACAGATAAATAGAAAAAAATAAATAACTAGATTAAAATACAGCAAAAAAAACATTGAAATTAATACTTTGTCTTTGATTTTACTAATTATATGTATTTAACAGAACAAGGGAAAGCTGTAAACTTATTATTTTTTTAATATACATATTTTTTCTTTCAAATAACAGAAAATATCTGTAAAAATTTGCTGATTTAAAAACAGTAGAAAACAATTTTTAAAAAAAATCAAAAATACAGATTTTTGACATTTTGGCCTGATTTTTTAAAATATATATTTTTTAATGGTTAAGATGTAAAGTCATACATTTTTTCTGTGATGTTGCTAGTTATTATCTGTATTTAACAAAACAGGGAATATCTATTAAAAAACAGTAAATTGCTTGAAAAATTGCAGTTAAAATTTTAAAAACCACTCATTTACATCTACATATAGTGCATGCAAAGCCATAATTTTGTTTCCGATGTGTTCAATATGTCTTTACCTGTATTTAAAAACTAGATGGTAATTAATATGGTTTATGAATAGGTTAAAAATAATAACCCTGGCAACAGTAATGAAATATGTGTATTATGATAAGCGCTATGAGATGACTTGTTGTTGTAAATATGCGCTATACAAATAAAATTGAATTGAATTGAAAATTGATGCTGGAAAAAGATGTAAACACTAAACAGCAGTAAGTGACTACAGCGTGTCTAACTCAGAGGAGATAAAAGCAACGTTTGGATTAGCATTTCACTCACAATTTCTACAAATGCGGCAAAATATAGTTATACAGTTTCTATGCTACAAAGAATATTCTACAAATAAACCTTCATACAGATGTACTGATGGTTAAATCACTGTGTCTGCAGCTGTGGAGGCTGCAATGTTTGACTTCGGCCTCCCCAACCATTTTCAAATATCCATATTTGGACAGTTAACAAACATTCTAGACTGAAGCTGTTCAGCTGCAGTCAGAGACACACAATGCAGTGCCCAGTTGCCATCATGATGGTGGGGTTCCCATCCACCAATCACAATTTAATGACGACGCATTTATCTGTACAATTTCAGCAGAGGGTGCAATGCATATTTTTGATCAATCAATCAGTGCATATCATTGATGCCCACTGGTTTACAGTCTCTTTAGTGGCAGTGGCTACGTGCAGCTCATCTCTTTTCTGCTCACCGTTATTGCAATCAGATAGCTTAAAGTTAAAACCAAACATCACCGAGTTAGCCACAGCGCTAATGAACCAGAATCTGGAGCCAAAGTCAGACACTCGAACGCGTGAGCCGAAAAAGTTAAGCTCAGAGCAGAGCACCGAACCGTCTGAAATGCTCCCAATTTAAAAGCAACCTAAAGGATGTAATTGAGGCCTACGGACAGCATAAGCACAACATGGAGGAGCACCTGTTCGTGGATGGCACCCTGCCACTGCTCTCTGTCTGCCTGCTGTGGAGGCTAGCTACCCACTGATGAGGAATTAGAAAGTCATTAAGGAACACAAATAGCAGGATGGCACAGTCGCAACCAACTCCAGACTAAATTTGTGTCTTCATTTATAGGCTCACGGGTAGGAGAAAAAAAGCCTTTTTGTTTTTTTGGTTCGCTATTGATTATATTTACATTTCAAATTCAGATTTTCTCATTAGCTCTGTCTTTTCATTTATTAAATCTCAATTTTGAGATCATTTTCTTCAATTCAAATAATAAAAAAAAAAGTAAAGCTTGTTTTATTTGTTCATTCAAAGGTCACTGTGTAATGTTGACTACAACATATTACGATAGCAACTGGCATTTTTTGAAAGCATCATCTGCTTCGTCTTTGTTCATTGTTTTGTAAAAGTACACATAAAAAAACTGTTTCTAAATTTCAAACCTTCAGGGTCTTATATAAAAAAGGTACCAAAGTTAACTTTTCAAAGTAGCACTAAACACACTGTGCAGTTGAAGCAGACAGTATTGCCACTAGCTTTGCAGATATTTCATAATAAACTAAATTACTGCACAAACTGAGCTTTTGAACTGCTGAGAAGAAAAGTCAGGGGAACATCCAGGTGATCCTGATATTTATCCTGTGGGGAACATGAACGTCTGGACTAAAATTCATGGACAACAATGTTAAAGGTGTTGACACACACACACACACCTCCTCTTTTACTGTATAACAGCAACCCCAAGAAATTACCTTCATATACAACTAACCTGCATTCTCAAATACGTCATGAAGGGAACACATTCACTCCCAGATTGCATTTGTTTGTGACGTATCATTACCATCTTTGCTGTTTATGTTATTGCTTTACTGTCACTCCGGTTATATTCTGGATGGGACTCATCGCCCCGGTAACCCAGAAAATGGAGGAAAAGCTTCAAATATGTTGCGAAAGTCCCATATTTTTACCCAAACTTTACTATTTTCTTAAACCTAACCACAAAGTTTTTGTGAAAACCAGGAAAAGTCCAAAAGAAAGGCCAGTGGTTCCACCCAGGATGCAAACCTCAGTCTCTTGGGTGAAAATCCTGTTTCTGACTCATCCCCAGAGGCACAGCTGTTGCTAATACACAGCTTTCTGGAACCTTGGAGTCTGCTGGGAGGACTCTGCTCCATACATGCACAGTAGGGTATATGTACGTATTCTATACATACATTCTTCTGCAATTGTAGCGTAGTTGCGATATAGACTCAAATTTGGGACCACATGTGGAGGAGGCCATACACACTCTTGTGAGCTTTTTGAGATTTACCTTATGTGGAACCTGTATACTCATGGATGCAGGAAGTATAAGGCCTCTGTTAAACTTTTGATGATACACCCCTCAGTGGACACCACAGATGCATCGTTCATCGTTATTACCGTAAATTCCAGACTATAAGCCGCTACTTTTTTCACACATTTTGAACACTGCGGCTTGGATTTTTACAAGTTTTATGAATTTGCCTCGAGACAAAAGTGACATTGAGAGCGACAACCAAAGAAAAACTGAGGAAGTGTGTGACGAAGTAATTCTGAGGCTGATCAACTCCGACACTGAAGAAG